TTGGGCAGATTTCACGCTGCGGAACGCTCGAGAGGGCTGGCCTGTGTGGAAGACGGGCGGCGAGAGACGGGCGCCGTTCTCTTCCTCCGGGAGAACGAGAAGGAGAACGCGAGAACGCAAGGTGCATTCTTCGGCAGCGCCACTCTCATCCGCTGCCGGACAACGCACACGCGCGCGCCGTGTGCAGCCGCATCAAAGGCGCCGACGGCACACGGACGTGGGGCTCTCCTACCGGTGTACACACCACGCGAGAGATGCGCGCCGCTCCGTGTCGCATCGAGAACAACCGTTGTCGGGGGCCCACGGACACACGAGAACGCGTGTCCGTCTCGTGTATCTCGCCGGTGGCATCTACCGCGTGTCTTGCGCCGCGGTCGCAGCCGCAACCGCGTACGTGTTACGGCGTTGTTTGACTCCGAGAGAACCACGGGTTCGTAGGAGTCGAGAATAGTTAACAATTAATATCGATATCCGAACAGAATTTGAAAATTTGTTCGTAGATGTTGGGATGTTGAGCGAAGCGAGATAACATCGCGAGATCTGTTCTGCCGGGTAATCGCAGACGGTTTTAAGGGACAATGTCGGGTACAGCTGACGGGAATCTTTTAATTTCGGTACAGCAGGTGGCAGGAATGCACCTAGCTTTAAGTGCATAAAGACGATCGTTTGGATACACCGGCTCGAGGCGAAGAGAATGTAGAGGGAAGGCAACTCGCACACAGAAGGATACGTGCGGCGTAACAGCTGGCTCAACAATTTGAAACGGCGCTCCGAAGGCGCTGTCTTTTGTGGCTTTCGGGGGCTTTCAAAGAGTATCTCAATGAGTCCCTTCGTGCCAGCCAGATCGGCACTAACGGCGCCCTTTAATGAAATTCACGGGTGTAACCGCTGACCGTCAATCCGCCGGAGCAACGTCGCCGAGAAGTTATTTTCCATCTGTATAACGTACTCCGCGACGTTAATCGTATTCTATGTAGTATTAATCACTGTCTGTGATATTTTCAATTAAAATTGTGACACGCAATAAAGTAGCTTCGAAGTGTTGAGAGACTATTGTCGACGTGCCAACGCTCGTAATTGAATAAACGAACCGAGGAAAAAAGCTACCGCGAGTAATGTTCGTAATGCTGTTTAAAATTCCGACAGCGCGATTAAGATTCAGATCGCTTAATCGGCGTATAATCTCTTCAGGCAACAAGACACTCTGATGTCGTTCATCCGCACTGAATATACATATTATTTATACCGCGCGCTGGCAGCTGGTCTAAATTGCATATTTGCACAGATGCGAATAATGTCAACCGTATATAAGCGATGATGCTCGATAGAAATGGTAGGGAAGAAAGGTAAATGAGCTAAATAGAATTAATTATTTATCGCATGTGGAATAAGGCCGCTTAAACTGCTCTCGTAATGGCTTTTCATATTATAATATAGACGTATTAATCGCAATATTCGAAACTAATTCGATAACTAATCGAAATATAATTAACTACGCTGAATTATCAAAATAAATGTAGCAATGTATAAATCAATGTGCTCTTCGGCAAAAATTTATGGGATTATTTTACTCCGCAAATTTTTATAGACTTTCTAATAAATATTCGAATCGATCAATTCCGTTTTACTCTCCGGCAATATTCGCCTATTGAAATCTGTTGCACATTGTATGAAGAAAAAAAAAATCGATTAATCTCATAGCGCGCGAGACAAGGTATATAAGTGTCGTTATTTAATGCAACAAAAGATAGACTTAATAATTAATCGTACACAAGGCGTCAGAAATGCCTAACCATCTGAACTTGCAGGAATACTGTTTCATATATATGTATACATATATGTATATTCAAAATATATGTATATGTATTGTGCCCCTGCAAATTCATATGGCTAGGCATTTCTGACGCCGTGTGTACACACAACATCGCAGTCGTCAATCAACTTCCTACGCGCAAATATTCATGAATCGAAGTTCGTTCTTACGTGTCGATCGCGGCTGAAAAGATCTGATAATTTTCGGACAATTGAGAATTTTCCCCGACCGCGGCCCGTCTCACTCTCCGCCTCCCTTTCTTCCATTCTCTCCGCGAGATGCAATTAACTTTTAACCCGTCGTAATTGCCCCGGTCGTTAGCGTGTCCGGATATCGGACATACGTGCGTGCACGCACCGCCACGACTGAAATTACCTTACATCGGGCATAGCGCGCGCAACTCGATTATTATAAAGCGGGGAGCGGGTACAACGGACAGACATGTGCGCGCCCCGACTTTCCAGTTCCTCGGAAAAAAGGAAATACGAGAACACGCATACGAATACGAAGGACACGCGCATACGGGATGCCGATAATTACGGGTGTACGCGATTCGCGTGTGTCTCTGCTCTAGAATAAATTATACATGCGGGGATATTTGAATTTAAAGATCGAAAATATGAAGTGAAAAACATCGTACGAATAAGAAAAATGAGGGAATCAATCCTGTCTTTTGTCAATTTCCTAAAATTCATAAAGTATGCAATGTGAAATCTTCAGCTATCCAGCTCGAACAAATATCATGCGATAATATATGTCTTATATCACAATATTATAAATTATGATTTTTCTCTAATGTTCTAAAGGACTGTATGAAGATCTGATGAAGATATTTTACGTTATCATCATATAATATATCGTTAATATTTGTCGTAAATGTATTCATAAAGTTTGCGATGTAGAACCTTTAGCTATCCAGCTTAAACACATATCATGTGATAATAAATTTCTTATAGCACAATATTATAAATTGTGATTTTCCCTAATATTCTAAAGGATTATACGAAGATCTGATAAAGATACTTAACGCGTTATCTCTTATTATCATATAATATATCGCTAATATTTGTCGTAAATGTACTTTGAACGTCTCCATGTGGCTTAAAAGTCACGACGTTGATTACAACATTACCATTTATCATTTTAGTTTATCGAAAGAGCGATAGAAATGACATAGAATTTTTATAGCTATTGAACTAAACGGGATATTATGTATATGTTAGTCGCTACACAGGATCGTAACCCACGTCTTGCCACATCTTAGAAAGCGTGTTAATTATTTATTGAAATGCAAATACCGCTTTACGATCTTGCGAAGTACATCTTCTACCGGTTCATTTGCATTTCATATCTTTCCAAAGCGATCTAATAAAATCCAAGATATATAGTGACGGGCATAAATCTGCAGAGATTTCACATTGTTTTCTCAAACGAGTTTTTTAAAAAATAGAGAGAGAGAGAGAGAGAGAGAGAGAGAGAGAGACAGACAGACAGACAGACAGTGTCACTCCGAAATTTCCGAAATAAAAACAACGTAATTCAATTTTATGCAACGTGAAATTGCAAATCGTACTTTTCCATTTTTTTCGCGATACTTCATTGTAGCAAACGTGGAGACAAAAACAAACAGCGTGTGAATGTCAATAAATGACCACGTCAAATAATTCACGCATCGTAATAATTCAGAGTTGATCAGCATCGGAAAAGCTGGAATAAAAATCGCTGCCGTTTCGATCCGCAATACAATATTAAATCAGTTAGCACGAGATCATCGATTATCTTCCAAAATTAAAACAGCTCTTGTTATAGAAAATGTAATGTATTTTCGAGTAACTTATATCTGTATGATATTTTTGAAGACATGCATCGTTATTAATTTTTGTCGCAAATCCATACCGTTTCCGAGTACGTATTACAGAACGGAAATTCGTTTATTATTGTTGAAAAAATGATGGACCTTCTCATCGATATTCTCGATACTTTTGTATCGATTTTTTTTCGGCTTTCTCGCGTTTTGGTATTTCCGCGTCGCGACGTGCAAATTAGAGCATAATAGTGCGCCGCGGACAACGATTGGTATGTATATTACGGTACTTTATAGTGCGAATTATAATGCCATCCGAAATGCGATAATGATCGCGCATACGTTTCACCGATTGACGCGGGATCATCAATATTGATTAGATCAATTTCCATCGATCGAACTGATACGGCGCGTCACGTTACGTCGTGTGTCGCGTCGCGTCGCGATCAAAGAGTTTTGCGATCGAGCAACTATAATTTTCTTCCTCCTATACTTTCCTGCAGAAAGAGGGAGAGCCATATATTGCGCGTATGCCGTGTATGTACACGTTGTTTCCCCCCGATTTCGGTTCCCAAAATAATTGCGCGGCTGGTGATTTATCCGAAAGATTTATAGAATTTACCAGTAATTTTTTTCTTCCTCGGAAGAGAGAGAGTTCTTTTATGCCTTCGTTGGGCCGTGAACTGCAAAATTACAGCCATCCGGTTCGCTCATAAATTGTTTACGCCACGTTTACGTGTGCGACATATGTGTATTGTATGTATTATATACTTTCTCCCCCCGCATAACTGTAGACATATAATTAAATTGATTAATAAACGCTCTCGCATTAGCTCAGTAAAAGGTTTTCTCCGCATCGCGCGTGTAATAATAATAATAAATAATAAAAAAAAACTCAAATTACATGAATCGCGTTCACGCGATTCTCCAGAATGAACGAGATATGATTCATGACATTTCAATATTTTGCCTAGGCAAATATCATAAACTGATGGCGTCATTAAATAAAAATTCCTTACTGCCTTCTGCTTATCAAAAAAAAGATAACATAGCACAAGTTGCAAAATAAAATCAAACTTACATTTTCAACCGGAAACGACGGCGATAACTTGCGCGCACTAAGATATTCTATCGTGGGAGTCAAGGAAATTAGAGTCACGAATCGAATCTATTTTCTTTCTTACGAAGTTCAGCCCGGAAACCAGGCGGGGGGGGGAGAGAAGAGGAGGAAAAACGCGCGAGCGTTATCCGCTGCAGATTATGCGCTGTCAGCGTGAATTACGCGAAAGCAGATAAGTTCGCGTAGATTACTCGTGAACGTAGACGTAGAACATCGCTATTTGCACGTGGCACGTCGGACTCTAGGACCCGCTTTGTACTCACTCTCGACGAGTTTCAGAGGGGAAAAGGGGAGGTGTAATCGCGTGTCAGCCGCAGGCGGCGGCGGCGGCGGTGGTGGCGACGGCAGCGGCGGCGGTTTGGATTTGGATCTCGCCTCGGTACTCACCTGCAACAATGGAAGAAATAAATTATGTATCATTTTGCACTCACGGTGGATTTAATCGACTTTGCGGCTCGCGCAGCAATTTTCGCGACTGAGCGCCGCGGAGCGAGCGCGACACGGTGCAGCCGCGCTCGCTTCGATCGTCGCCGAATAATTCAGAGATCGTAATGATCTTAATTAACGGTCGCGACGACATGCACGGAAATTTTTTATGGAGAGAAAAAAGAGAAAACAGAGTTTTTAATTAATAAATATATTCATACACGAACGCGCGGCTTTTGGAGACGCACGTATGTGTATGTGTAATTGCATATGTAACGGATGCGCACGAGAAAATTAAACTTTCGCGTGGTAAACAGTTTACGGTGGTTGCAGTTTTATTTGACAACTCTCGCGCGGAAAAAACAATGATACGTTATGTAGTTATAATACTGTTGGCATCATGAAAGTTACAGGAGTGCACGACGGCATTGCGCTTCCTTTATTCCATTATGCTAATCAAATAGCAAAGCCAGTTACGTAATTTACGCAAACGTAATTTTCCCCAATTAATTGTTTATCACGGCGATGCATTATAAGCGATGCGTCCACTTCTGCGTCTGGATATTAACACGTACGTCACGCGCGACGTAATAGTCGCGCTGTTTGCTTTTGGTAATTGCCAATTAATTCATAATCCCCTTCGTAATTTGCGAAGGTAAACACTACACGTAATTAAAGTACACTTTGGACTGTTGCATTTGTAATCGAAGGCCACTTCTCGTTGTATCGAAGACAATATACGCAACGTTTAGCACAATGCCGCATATGTGTTATAAGTCTGACGGAACAAAATTATTAACGTGTAGAATTAAAAATATGCAAATACTGTCGAGAAAAGTACGCCCCAATTGATTTATAGCCGTAGCAGCTTCTCAAAGTCTAACTCTCTCTTTCTCTTTTCTTTGCCTCTTTCTCCAATGGATACCGCCGTGTACCTTAATATAGAATTAATTTGCGGCCAATTAGCCGGCAATGAAGTCAGCCGCTGTCCTTCAGCCGAGGACCACCATATAAATTTTCCACGTTCATTATTCACATACCCGTCTCGTAGACGCGTTTTGAAATTATACATCCGACCGATCGTTCCTCACGAATGCACGGCTAACGGCTTTAAAATTAACGGCTGCGGTCGGACGAAGGTGATGGTTGAGAAACCCTGTGTGACGCGCGCACGGGCGCCAAACCTGTTCCAACTTCTGGATCACGAAACCGCCCGTATAGTGTCTTACGTATTTCGTTCTAACGTCTTCACTAATGAGCAATTGAAACCCGAGCCCGGCCGGACTCGCGCCTGTGTGCGCGCTCGTGTCGGTGCGTTGCACACGCCCGGTGTGCATCGATGTGTGTAACGAAACGCGGAGTTTTGCGACGATGCTTTGCATAAATTTGTACCGCGAGATCGGATTGAGTTAATCTTACTAAGAGACCAGGGAGAGCAGAGGGACGGTGATTACCATGGAGGAGATAAACTTTCCCGTACGGGCGAGCGACAGTGGACGGCGGATGCGTGATAAATCACGATTAATTGATCGGAGCGTGATACTGCTTCATTAAAAAATTCAAATGTACCCGGCTTGATTTGGTTGACTTAATCGATCCGGATCTGTGAAAGCAACCGTAAGAGATTTGTAGGACGATTACGACGAGCGAGGAAGGAAAGAGTGATTTACGACCGTGTTACGCAAATTAAGAAATTGTAATAGATTTAAATTTTAGTCGATACAATAAAATGAAAAAAAAAAAGAATCATATTTTATCTATTTTAAAGCGCGGTGAGAGCTTCGTATTGGAACAAATTTCGGAATATGATCTTCCAGAGAGCGCGACAATAGACATTAGAGAACAAGAACGGTCTCGAATGTACCTGCAAGATTACCACGGAGGGAAGATATTTTCTTAATTTTTGCACCTTATCTTTATAGCCGTTCCCACATCCGGTACACCGTAATATCCCCGATGGCAAGGAAAACCTGATTTGCAACCGCACTCGCTTCTCTCTTTGATAAGTCTGTCTCTGTCTCCATTTTTCTTTCGGTCAGGCAAAGCACTTTGCAAAGCAAATAAGTTAAGTAACATATTCATGTGTCGACCGATCGAGCGTTATCGACATTGATACACCGAGCGAGCGGCTACGTTCCATCATTACGATTTTATTACGAGGGCTTTCAGGTTTCGCAGAGGAGGTATATATATATATATATATATATCCACGCATCTCGAATATATAATTATCTACATCGTTATTAAGTCTGATGACAGACGTGGGATATGCACATTTCTTACCGATGTGAACCTAGCACCCAACATTTCTTTACGGATTTGCACAAGGCACTTTTAAATAAGATAAATGAAATAAGTTGCTCGCACGAAGAGTATGCAAGATAATTAACACATTACGCAAATAACTATATATACTTACAAACTTCATCTTTTTAAACGCAAAAACGAAGTTAAAAGTGGGACCTCACTCGCTTATCAGAAAGTATGTCATTTAACAAGTGCCTTCGTTAGCCTTTTCGATTACATTTTAACATTGGTGCTATAATTCGTGCACAATCTCACGCAACACATACACGTTTCGTATCATTTTCTCTCTCCGATAATGTTTCTTCTTTTGCAAAAAATAATCTGCCGCGTTTCTCGAATATCACAAAATCTGTGAAACTGCTCGACGCTCGGTGGACCAAATTCGAACCGACTCGAGTCGGCAAGACGGCGGAACGCAACGAGAGCGAAACCAAGTAAAGAAGTCGGGCATAATCGAGACGAGAAAAAGGCACCACGGCGAGAAAGAGAGGAGGAGAAGGAAAGGAAGCTGGCGTTGTGCTGCGAAACGTAAGAAAAAAAGATTGTCGGCTGGCGCCGTTTGGCCAGCGGTTCACGCCAGATCCTCCTTTTTGCCTCCCCTCCGCCCTTCGTCACCCCCTTCGCGTACTTTCTTTTTCTGCTTCTTCTCCTTCTTCTTCTTCTTCGAGTGAGTGCCAGCAGTGTCGGTCGACGATTTCGTCCAAAGTTCGCTTTTCTCGCTTTTCGCCACGAACCTCACCGATATTTCTTTATCGTCGCCTTTGAAAATCTCGCGCCATTATCCGCGACGATTTACGAATATAATAAAAAAAAGAGAGAATAAAATCGTCACTGCATTGATAATGATATAAGTATTAACCGTTTTGCGCCAACCATTTAAATTATTATCTACAATATTATTTTTATCGTAAAACCGCATATTATAAAAGTGAAATTAACGGAATTAAATATAGATAGAATTAATTAAATATAGATAGAACAGATAGAATTTAATAAAAAAGAGCTTTTATTAATTTAGAGCTGGATTTAATAGAATCGTAACTGATAGAACAGAGAATTAAAATGCGATTTTAATGTTGGAGAAATAACAGGCGGGCGAAAAAGAAAGAACTTTCACATTAGCATTTCGCCCGCATTACGCATAATTCTGTTTACACTTTCAATCAACAGCCAGTGGACTAGTTTTGTTCCCGTTTGACGTTTCGAGAAGAATCGCGCGTTCTACTTGCCCGAGACCGTAAGCCGCGAGACTGTGAAACGCGCGACCGCGTTTCGACAGCTCTTTGATTAAGCTGTCGTTAGTACAATACCCTTCGGGCTAACTTGTACTACTTCCGCAATTCTATATGCTTCACGCCCCGACGTTTCTCCTCCTGTCATTACACCGGATTATTTACGCGAGTACACGACTCTCGTTTGCGCCCAGAGAACCGCGTATACGCGCCGCGCGCAATCGCGGGCGTGTGTACACCCGCGCAATTCCTCATTTCGCGTTTACGTTTCGCCCGGCGATAACGAACGAATTCAAGAGAAAATTGGTACAAGGCCGAAATTTCCCGTTCGTTCAAATTGAAGCGCTCGAAAGTTCCGCCGTGAAACCATAAATTACACGTCAATCACGAGCGTCACCAAGCAACCTATTCGTCAAACATTTTTAAACGCTGCGATATTTAATTGTTAAAATCACGTTTGTAATTTCACGTTCAATTTAACGTTCCCCGGCGAGCAACTAGACACGGGAAATAGAATTCCTTTTCGTAAATTGCGTCTCTTATCACCTTTAAATGTCTATTAATTCTACTATTTTCCTTTTAATTCGATTACTCTATCTGTTAATATTAAGTATATCACCGAGGATTTTAAAGGAATTAATACGAGAATTAACAAATTAATTTTAAATTAATTATTAGTTTAATATTAAATCCAAATTTCTTGTTAATAATTTTCTATTATTCTCTTCCTAATTCCATTACTTTATCCGTCAGTGTTATCACTGAGAATTTTAAAGGAATTAATAAATTAATTTTAATGAATTATCAATTTAATATTAAATCCAAATTTCTCGTTGATAATTAATAATTATTAATTCAATATTAAAAGATGTTTTCTTTTTTAAAAAATATGCATTCATCGAGAAATTTTGAGAAGTAAATACAGAATTTTTTTTCATCAGCGCTAATTGACATCCTTGTAGAGAATTGTGTAACGCACTTCCAAACACTTACATAACGGCTGCTTGTATCGTCGAGTGGTGCCGAGTCCGATCGGATTTGACCTGTATTTTTGCGGGCGCGCAATTATTCCATTCGATACAAGACATTGTCTTCTAATTGGACCAAAGCTCGAGAGCATCGGGATCCGGTGTCGTAATCGCAGATAATAGCGGTGCACAATCCGCTGGCGGCGCGCAATAATTCGCGATAACCCGCGGGGCGTCGTTGTCGCCGTTGTCGTCGTCGTCGCCGCCGTTGACGGCGCCGTAAATCACACGACAAAAAAAATAGCGCTGTCTAATTGATTCAATTTCGGCGGCGAACAGTCTCTCGGGACTGGTCGCGACGGCCTTTGCCGCGAAACGAGCTCGCGCGGCAATTTCGCCGAGGTCGAAAGTCGCCGCGCGTGTTTCTCGTCGCCGAAAGCGCGCCGCCGTGGCCGCTGCGAAATTTCGACGGAAATTAAAGAAAGGGAACGAGACGCACGAGGGAGAATAAAAGAGTCGTGAGGTAAAAGCGCTTCTGAAACGATGAAATCGTTGGAATTCTAAATTGTCGCCGAAAGTACAAACGGAGCAACTGTATATATTTTATGTACAGCAATTCTATGTATTTTATATATACTTGTATTTGTTTTCGTCAATATAAAAATAAAATCTTTATAATCTCGCTTTGGAAAATTAATTTCCCAATTTTCCTACAGTGTAGTATTTTAATTAATTCTACGATTATCCATCCGCAATTTACAGACTGTCGGTGAGTGAAAATACTGATAAGAATTATACACTGCTTCGGGACACGTTTAGCGTAAAATTTGCATGTATGATATAGAAACAGAATATTTTATGGCATGTGAACCAAGTGTCGCGGCCGAAATTCCCATTTAACAATTCAGCTGGTAATTTATCACCACGTCCACTTGCGTATTCATTTATATTCTATGGGCCGTGCCCACCGATCGAACACGAAATGGTATATCGCATTCTTCTCAATAACACCGTTCGACACGCCACTCCGTTAAATTTATACATTAATTATCATATTATCATCGTACTGCTACGCATTAATAGATCGATATGTACCGATCCAGGCGTACGATCTATCGAGTCACGATTGTCATGCCCGTCCAACGAACTTTATCCCGCGCATCGATCAGCCCGATGATCCTCAAATGAACTTCTTCAACGTGCCACCACTCTTTCTCGAAATCGTTCCTCTCGCTCGACGTCGAAAAGGAACGCGCGTACCGTAAAACAAAAAAAAAAAGACAAAAAAAGAGAGAAATCTACGGGATCCAGACATCACCGAGAACCGGCGCGTTCCAAAATCAACATCGGCAACCGGTAAAGCGGTCGCGAGGAGCTCGAATTTCCCACGAGCTAATGGAGCTCACGAAGCTCGAAGATAGCCGTTGCCGGAGGAGCCCCTCTCGACTTCCGCTCACCTGTGTGCCAGGTTGAGCACCACCCGGGACGGAGCCGAACTCTCCCACGCGTCCGCTTTCCCCTCCTCCTTCGTAGGGCCCTCTCTCTCTCCACCTCTCTCTCAGGTTCCCTCCGAACTACGCATCTCTTTCTCTCGAGTGTACATTTCTCCTCTCTCTCCTTTCCGCCCTGCTCTCGGACTCGTTCCCTCTGTCGCTCACCGTGGTATGCTTTGAGATTCGCCGCCAGAGGTGCTCTCTCCCCCCTGCCCCCGTACCCTTTCGGTTCCCTTCCGCTCCCCGCTGTGGCTCGCCGGTCGCGATATAACGACGGCGGCGCGGCGGCTCGAACAGCTGATTCGCCGAAGGGGGTCAGCCACCCCTCGCGATTCCGTCGCGTTCGGGCGGATCTCGGCTGCGACCCGCCGATAAGAGAGCTTGGTTCGGATAATTCGCACGTATCTCGCAATTCGAAGAGGTGAGTAACGCGCGGAGGAGAGAATCTCGCGAGAGGGAATTTCGCGATAAGCGCGCGCGTTTGGCGGATGCGATACGCACCCGGAGCGTATTGCGTTCCAGATAACATCCTTGGGTAACTTGTACGTTCCAATCATTCGCTGATCTCAGAAATGTATCTCTTAAATTAAAAAATAAACGTAAAAATATATTAGAGCCGTATCATCGAAGATATAATTGCGAAAGATATCGTGAGATATCTGCAATTTTTTTGTCTATATTTCCGTGTGAGATCTCAGTGCGCAGGACATTTGTGAAATGTATACCGCCGCCATAAAACGCTTCTGGCGGCGCCGTTGGACCGACCGTATATATGCATTATGCTAAATGCGCGCGGGCCCACTTCACTTTCTCGCCCTCGCGCGTACGGCGACGGACGTGTGTGTTACCCCGAAATGGACGCACGCGTGTATACGAAACCGGGGGCCGGGCGACGATCTTATCGTCTCTCGGAGCGCGCGGGGCCGAGCGAGGGACTTCCTGATTTCTCGCTCTCTGTACACGCGCGTTATTCTGGAAACAAAGGAACCGTGTGTGTGCGTGCGCGTCGTGCCCAGACGAGCGGATCGCGGCACGCACGCTTCCAATTAAACGAATTCAAGCGAGCGAGTTCGAGCGCCAACGCACCGGGGGAGGAGGAGATGCATTTGTTTAAACGTCCGATGGTGCATTAAGAAAATTAGCGTCGCTAAAGCGTCGCTAAAGCGTCGCGATCGCTCGTCGACGTCGTCGGCGGAATTGCAGGAATTATATTTCTCTCTCTCTCTCTCTCTCTCTCTTTCTCTGTGCGTGTGCAAAATTTTTTAAGTGATTTACAAGGAATTTGTGGCATTCTCTCCGGAGATAGT